AGCATCACTTTGAATTAGGTCGCCTCCTCGCCATTCGACTTCTTTGCGCATGACGTCAGCACACAAATACACAAAATTCAAATCGGGGTCAACCGACCACGTGGTGTAAACACGACGATAGATAGCTGAGCTGAAACTGGTGATGCGATCGTTTTTGTGCAAAATTCGGCATCAGCAACCATTTTTGGTAGTTGTAAATGTTGCCATTAAAGTAATAAACTATCAATCTTTTATAATTTGTCATTTACGTTACTACTTTCATTCATTTTTCTTCTTAAAATCATCTTTCCACAAGAGAGTGAAAATTACTATCTGCTTTTATTTTTTACTTGTTAATTTTTTTTTGTGGATATTGTGAAGGTTAAAAAAAAATCAAAATGGCTGTGCAATGAGAGATCAACATGAATTGTGTTTGCTGCAATCAACCGTTTCAGCGGAAAAGTGGGGGGTTTAAAAGAACATGGTTTTTTTAACAAAGTTTAAAGGAGGTTTAAATGCAGCAGAAGCTTTGGAAAAAGTTACAAATATTTATGAACAGTTTACTCCAGACAAAGAAAAATTTATTTGCAATGATTGTAGTTTAACCATTAAGTCCTTAGAGATAAAGAAATCACAACTAGAAGAAGTGGAGGAGAAATTTAGGAAAGTAAGGAAACCAGGGAGTTATGTTTCAAGTAAAGTAAACATTTCTCCTTGTCATCGAAGGACACCGAAGAAGCTGAAAGTGTTTTTTTCTCCCCGCAAAAGCAGTCCAAAGGCATTATCGTTAAATACAGATAAGGTACAAAACCTATTAAAACTATGATATCTAAGTTGTAATTTATCATATAATAAAATCCACGAATATTAATTAAAATGTTTATAATCAAAGGTATGCTAAAATATACATTTTTATTTAATTATGCAATTTTAGATTACACTACAAGTCAATAATACAAAAGTTGGAAAAGCTGTTCAACTTGTTGGCCATTCAAAATATCAAAGTGGTTTCAGGAAATTGTTTAATGCAAGTAAAGCAGCCAAGTCATCATCTGCTCATGTTATGTGCGATATCATTCGCAGAGAAATAACTGCATTTACAAAATTCATGGGGCAAGAAAACAAGCGAAACCTCTCATCAATATTGCAGTTTAATTGGTACAGAATAATGACAACTGCAAAAAGACTTTGTCCCGTGCTTTTGAGTATTCTAACATCAGCTCATACTAAAAGGCAGTACCAGAAATCAGCAACAAAAAGAAAAGGGAAAAAATTGTATCCCTAATGCCAATAATTGGTTCTGTACTCTGCATCATTGGATATGGAAGATCAAAACAATGCAGTATTTTGCAACAGATGGTATCCATAATGATGTGGCTAGGAGGGTGTAAAAGAAAGGTACTTTAATTGAACAAACATACACAAATGTATTTGAAAAAGTGTTATACACAGTGAATGTATGCAGTACTTGTACGTAATTCATTTATGTTGTTAAATGCATAACTATTCATCTTGATAGGTTTTCACCAGTTTCAACAATCTAGGATGGTGCCAGGGAATTGATGCCACAAAGTCACTTATTGACAATTTAAAGACAGATTATGATTCCAAAGTGAAAGTCTGGAGGGACAGAGTGTCTGAAATTGTACAACCAGGTACTATTTTGGTCAGAAGTTAAATTGAGCTTTGTATTTATGTGTATTCATTGGTGATGTGCTCTTAAATGTAATGTATGTATGAATTCATCTATCTTTCAGTATTTTGCCAGATATATTTAGTCTGTATGTCAATATTTAATGTGCTCTCATATTTGTAATGTTTTTAATTTCATCTACATGAATATTTTAGAAGAAGCTGCAATTGATGAGAGTATGCACAGTTTAATAGACCTAGAGGATCTTTGGGAAAGTGAAGAAGATGATGAGAATGATAGCAGTATGTCATCACAAATTGAAAGTGAAAATGAAACCACAGCATCATCAGCAGAGGAGAATAGTCCTAATCAAAGTCAGTGCAAATTCAAACATACACATAACATTCATCTGACATAAGGCCACACAAGTAAAAGCTTATCTAATTCATTTCATTTGATTTATACTTCTTAAAAGTGTCATTTATGATATTACTTTCAGGTTCCGGTTTATCAGATGACTTGAACGAGTCTGAACATGACATTCTTATCTATGATGTTAACCGTAACTTGTATTATGACTTAACATTTGACAATATCAATCAGAAAATTGGTGTTCGACACCATGTGCGTGGAAAAAAAAAATAAAATGTTGAATATGGTTCAAACATACACAACATTAGAACGAGTTGGTAGTCGTGGATTGTCCATTGAAATGCCTTCACCAGAGATTGTCAGGAACATTCCTCTTGCAGATATACTGCCAAATGAGCTTGATGAAAATGTGCTTCATAATGAGCTGTCTATTCTGGTGTCCAGAATTCTCACAAATTATGTACCTGCCTTTGCTGGTCTCCCTGCTGTGTGGTCAATTCCTCATCAATATTCTGCAGAATCTGCCATGAAAAGTGAAATAGTGAGTAAATCTGTCTATTTGAATTTATGTGTACACCAATCCTTTCCCAAGTGTTTAAATGTATGTAAAATACATCTCGTAACATCAGGTACTCAAGTCATGTCGCTAGTGGATTCTATACTTAAACAAGTTGTGTCAATAAAGGAGAAAAGGAAGCAATCTCTTTTCTTATGAAAGAGCTGCATATTACATTTCTGTGAGTTTTTTCTCTCTCTGTTTTTTGCTTTGTTTTGAATATTACATATTTTCATTTTTTTAAATTAAAAAAAAAAAACAGGTTCCATTAGGCATCTTGAATAAGGATGAGTCCACCACAGCAGGAATGATTGAGATTTTAGAAAATTACATACAGTATGTGCCAAGAAAAAGGAATGAAGTGCCTGTTCCTTTAGTACTTTTCTGCGATGGCCTCAGCTTTGAGAGGGTGGAAGAAGCTCAAAGCGCAAGAATTAATGGTGAAGATAGTTGGGACAGACTGGATATGTATGAGTCTGCTATCCAGGAATGGCATCGCCGTTTAATGTACCTACAGGTAACCAGAAGAAAATAGTCGTGCTTACAAATTGTTATTAAAAAAGTAATTTACAAGTCACAATCTGCACAATATTGAAGTTTGTGTTTATTATACATGCATATCATTTCAAATATCAGTTTATTCTAAATATGCATTTAATTTCTAGGACACATATGATGAGCTTTTCAGCTTTGAGAGTCACAGGAAGAAAGGTACACTGTATAACCTCAAACAAGTATTTGACCACAAAAATGTCACAAAAACATGATGGACTGTTTTGACAAAGCAGAAGAACTGTTAGAATTTGCAACCATTGGATATACACTTTTGTTGTACATGGAATTAACAGATACAGCTGACATCAATGAGATCCCCAAGAATTTTCCAGAATCCAAAACTGACAAAGAAAAATTTAGAGATGACATCAGTTGCAGAATTATTGACACAATCTACTGCAGTCCAAACACGAAAGAGGTACTGAATGTGTCTGTAGACCACACAGCTGACAGTAGTCAATACTGTATCTGTAAACTTGATGTTGGAGGGACAATGGTATACTGTAAGAATCGAAACTGTGAAAAAGGTGCCTGGTTTCATCTTGAATGTTTAGGGATTGATGAGGATGATGTCATTGATGATGACTGGTTTTGTTCTGATGAGTGTCGTCAAAGAAAAGGCAGGGGAAAGAAAACAACAGCTGCTAAATTAAAAGATTTGAAAAAGGGGTATTCAGAGAGACTTGTCTGGAGGGGTTTAAACAGTATGGCCAGGTATGATGCAATAAAAGAAAATGATGGTCCAAGAATGATTTTACATTGGAAATTTGACATGTTTGAATTTTATGAGAAGAACCATCCCAAGTACTTTATATTTGGGCACAGACTCCTTGCCAATGTGGCTGGTGCAGCATCAGAACAACTACAACACCATCTCATATGGGAACGCACCATAAATGTAACCGGTGGAAAAGGCAAAAATATCCCGAAATATCTTCATTGTGAACACTTAAATATGCAGTACAAGGAAAATAGCAGGGATGCTGGTGGTCAGCTAACATCAAACACCATCAACAGACACAGTCAGATGCTAGGTATTGGCAAAAACATTCAGGATATTTTTAATGAACAAGTTGTTTTTAAACCCTTCCATACCAGGAAACATGGAAACATCGACAGGCAAGATGATATCCTCCGGATGATCAAGACTCTCCAACCACTGCACTACTTTAAGCGTGAACCTGAAAGGGCGTTCAAGGGGTTTGAAACTTTTACCACAGTAAATGGAGTTTGATTTCCAAAGAAATTTAAAGAACGCCTTTTGCGTCATTTGAAAAATATGGCCCGTTTACGTGACCTTCAAGAGGATTTGTAAATCACAGAATCAGTATTTAGAGTTTTGACGTGAGTAAACAGTATGACTATATTACTATATTTCTTATGGATTCTACTAATTACATTACTAAGTTCAAGGATATACATGTAATTAATTAATAGCACACACAGACACACATAACCCACCACATGAAAACAGCAACAAAATTGACTTGTATTTTATTTTATGAAAGATAACATTATTTCATTGGATGACTTCTTTCGGTGTGAGCATTTACATTTCACAACACATGATATGCAACATTTACAAAGTTTACAATTGCATGAATTCTGACAACTACAGCAAGTATTATTCATTTTCATAAGATCTTCAAGTTCACATTTGTTTTCATCTGATAAGGAAAATGTGTGAAGAATATGGTATCTCTGGCATTCAGTCTCTCAAGTATGTCCTGCTGGCACAGTCACATTTTCTTTTACCTGATTTTCGACATGAATCACATGGTAAAGCTATACTTCTAGGATATGCATAACACACAGAGATACTTGATCTACCATCTCTTCCAGCTCTACGTGCCTCTTGCCAAAGTTGTAAAAGAGAAGAGGGTAAGCCCCATATAAGAACAACACTTATATCTGGAATGTTGATACCCATACCCACAGCTACAGTACATATTAAAATTCTTATCACACCACCTTCAGAACAAAAAGTACTCAAAATTCTCTCCTTTGATTTGGTATCTGTGTGTGCATGATACATTTCTACCATCCTTGTGTCAATAGATTGGTGTCTGTTAGATTGATATTATTTATCAGTTGTTTAAGTGTATTGTCATATTATCTTGGAACTGTCTGTGTATATTATTTAATATACAAATGAATATATATTTAATAAAAAAAAATGTAAAAAAAAAAAAAAAAAAAAAAGAATAATATCACTATATTGTCAATAATGAATGATCATTGTAAGAAAATTAATAAGCTGTGACATGTTTTCGCCGATTTTTGTTAAAAATTAGACATTCTATATATTGGTCACTTGGGAGTCTACTTTTTAGAATGTGTTTATGCTGTCTAAACGTGATATAACACTCTGTTACTAGTATTAAATGCAAAGTAACTAAAAAAAAAAAAAGAAAAAGATTGGTGTCTGTCATATGCTTTATCTTTCAATGAACTATGCATCCAGATATAGAGTTCTTCACATTTTCCAATCGAATTTGCATATAGCAATGTCTTATTCATGGCTACACCCTCCTGTCGAATACTTGTAAGCAACCACTGTAGCTCATCTTCATACTTTTCACTGGACTTTTGGATACTAATGAAGATATTGGATCTAGAATGTATAAGTATTAAAACTTCATATATAAATACTGGTGTATATATATATATATATATATATATATATATATATATATATATATATATATATATATATATATATATATATATATATATATATATATATATATATATATATATATATATTCATGTCCATTTTAATAACATCCATGGAAAACAGAAAATATTCACCTGTTTGGCAAAAATGAAATGGTACTAACTTGGGACATTCCAAGAATCTTCTCTATGTCAGCTTTCATTGCTGTATTACAGGTGGCAGTAAGGGTGGGAACAGGAGAATCAAGGATACTCTGTAGGATCCCAACCTTCCTGTAGTCTTCTCGAAAGTCGAGACCCCTATAATAGTGTGCTTGCTGAATATGATGCAATTTTTTCAATATGTAGTAGCAAGTAAAATGTATCCATAATGATCAATACAATACCATTCTGATATGCAGTGAGCCTCATCATATGCAACTAATGCAATGCTGTCCTTGTATACATCCTGTAACACCCTTAACCAGTTCTTAGAGATGATAGCCTCAGGGGAACCTATTAAAACTGTTGCATGGTATGGTTAAATTGTAAATTACATTTATAGTATGTAAATATCTTATGTATACCATCTACATCAGATTTATCCACTCCTTCATATATTCCATATGCTTTTATGTCATGGCCCTTCAATGTTTGAACTTGATCTTTGATCAATGCTTTCAGTGGTGAGATCACCAAACTTGTATGCTTTATACAGGGATTGATCTGTATAAGAAATTATTGTAAATTCACCTGATATGCTTATTTGTGGTACATGATTTTAATATATTGTATACATATTTGCAAAAATTCAAGAGAGAGAGAGAGAGAGAAAGGGGGGTGGTTTAATACTTACTTCATCATAAAATAGTGCTGGGATGACATAGCATATACTTTTCCCAAAGCCTGTGGGTAATACAGCAAATGTGTCTCTTTTATTAACAACAGACTCAATAATTTTAAACTGCTCTGGTTTCACTGCAAAAGTAAATTGCTTTTCTGACAGGATTCTGTTGATCACATTTTCAGTCAAGGCAGCCATTTTGATCCTTAAATCTTTTGTCTTTGAGATTTATAATTAGTATCAAAACTTAGAATATGTGATATGTCAATAATTATATTGTTATGAAAGTCTTGATTACATTGCAGAATTTCAATGAAAAAATAAATGAAAGTTTTGTAAAAGAGCATAGAAAACAATATAATAATGTTTCATTTATTTATTGATAAGGAATGCAACTGCCGAAAATGGATCTGATGCCCATATGAGCACAAATTTAGCAGCATCACCAGTTTCAGCTCAGCTATCTATCGTCGTGTTTACACTACGTGGTCGGTTGACCCCGATTTGAATTTTGTGTATTTGTGTGCTGACGTCATGCGCAAAGAAGTCGAATGGCGAGGAGGCGACCTAATTCAAAGTGATGCTTCATTTGACGGTGATAGGGCTGTTTAAACGGCGAAAGCATCGTATTAGTGATGATTTAGTAGTAGAAGAATCATTTCTTTCCTGATTGCTCGCGTCTCGGAAGCTAGATCCGCGGAATAAAGTTGTAAAAGGTAGGCAGAGTCGCTGAATTCCCACTTTTCAATATGGCCTCCGCTCTGACTCTCCCCTGCACATGTCAAAATATAATAGCAGGGGTGAGAGTCAGAGGAATCTCGGATTAACATTTATAGTAACTGAAGATAGTGACCTTATTACACACATACACGCAGAAATAATAAAATAGTTTAACATGCATATATATTTCATGTTTTACCTTTTTCTTTTGATTTTCAAGTTTTATCTTTACATTTTTTCTCATATAAATGTTTATTTTAAAATATTAGATATACACACCCTACGTATATACATTAAAAGTAGTTATTTCTTTGACTGACTGAAATCTAGCACAATTCTAAAGTCTTTAATTTTGTTTTCACTTAGCCTTTGGGTATGTTCATTCTCGAACTGCACAAAATAATGTTTTTCCAGTCGTTTTGACTCGTTTCTCGATCGCATCATATCCATTACCTTGACAATCGGTCCGTTGTTGACTGTTTCATCTTCGTATTCTACGTCCTCGTCCGAGATGTAGTCGTGATCAGGACGGTCATTAGGATCGAGATACGGCTTCATCCTGTTAGCATGCGCTGTTAAAGTCTTTGACTTGTGGTCAGGGTCCTGTAGCCTGTAAGTGACATCAGATAATCGCTCGATGATCTCGTACGGTCCATGCCAATTGTGAGTAAGTTTAGGGGAAAGTCCGGGTTTAGTCGTAGGTGTGAATAACCATATTTTGTCACCTTTAATATAATGAGTCTCTTTTGGTGACCGGTCATGACGTTCCTTCTGGTTTTGTTGACATTTTTGTAAGTTTTCTTTGACTAGCGTGTAGGCCTCTTGAAGGCGGACTTTTGCTTCCTCCTTATAGTCATCTGCTACGGCGTATGAGAATGTTGGTGGGCATAGCGCAGCTTCAATCGGTAAAACAGGATCTCGTAAGTGCATAAGGTAGAAGGGTGACTCCTTCGTAGACTCGTGGATAGCGGTCCTATATGCGAACAGTATGTAGGGTATAAATGTATCCCAGTCACGCTGATGTCCAGACACGTACATTGACAACATCGTTGTGAGTGTTCCATTGAAGCGTTCTACTAGGCCGTTGGTCTCCGGGTGGTAGGCAGTAGTAAAAGTTTTCCTGGTATTTGTCAATTTACAGATTTCCTTTATTAGATTTGACCTAAAGTTCTTACCATTATCTGATAGTAGTTCTCTAGGCGCTCCATGACGACACACTACCTCCTCTACAAAAAGTCGTGCAGTAGTTTCTGCATCTGCATTATTTACATCAAATTCCTCGGGCCATCGAGTTAGGTAGTCACTGAACACAATGATGTACTTGTTAGACTTGTAGGTTGGCGGGAATGGTCCAAGAACATCTACGGCAACTCTGTCGAATGGTCCATTTACCGCTGGTAGCGGGTTCAGTGGGAACTTTGGTCTGTTCTTCGGCGATTTCTTGGTGGCACAGTCTACGCATGATCTACACCAGAACTCTACATCCGAATACATCCCCTTCCAGTGAAATCTCTCTTGGACCTTGTCATACGTTTTCTGGAAGGAAAGATGTCCTGCTGTCAGGTCGTCGTGACAGGCATACATGACTTTATCTATCATGCTCTTTGGAATGGCTATTTGGCGTCTAATAGCTTGGCGTCGTCTATGAGATCCAGGCTGCCAAAGGTGGTATAGCAGACCGTCGTGTCCGAGTTCATAATCGCCAGATAATATTACCGTTTCACGGGCCTTTGAGGATAATTCAGGCAACTCCCCCTTCTCTAAGTAGTTAATGATAGCTGCTAGGAGAGGGTCGTTTTTCTGACGGTGACGGATGTCCTGATATGACCTTTTTGGTATTACATCTGTGTCTGCTTTAGCACAGGTGGCTGCTACAGAGGATTCGGCAGGAATTCGAGATACTGTAAAAGTGGTTATTTTCACTGGTTGTTAAGTACGCGTTTGTGATGGTCAACCATTACGCGTGGGTGTAAAATACGCGGTCGAGCGATTTACCGCGAATAATTTACGCGTTTATTCTTACCAGAGTCGTGTACGAGTTGTCCCCCTTTCAACAGTCCATCTATGTTTACTAGCACATTACACGTAAGAATAAATACTGAGTAGATTTTGAGAACTTGTCACGTCATTCTGAAGGCCGTGTAATTAATCGATTTCACTTCGAAAGGCAGTGCCCTTCGCAGTTGGTCACGATGTCTATTTTGAATTATTTCAAAATTTCAACGCCATCTAAAAAAACAGGGAATTTGTCTACCTAACCCTGAGCATACGCCAGAAAAACGGACTTTAATAGAAAATTTAAACGATATAGTTGATGAAGAGTACCAAAAAACTCCGGAGTCAGGGAAAAAGAGAAAAAGGGGATCTTATCAGCATTACACTCCAGAACAAAAAGCGAAAATAGGAAGGTACGCAATGGATAATGGTCCTGCGAAAGCTGCAAAATATTTTTCAGAAAAAATGGGTGTAAAAATAAACGAAAGTTCGATTAGAACAATTCGCCAACAATACTTATTAAGGCAGAAACTTTCTACAGAGCCCTTCAATGAAGTGATCCCTAAGAAACGAGGTCGACCAAAATTACTTGGTGATGAACTGGATCAAACTGTGTGTGATTATATAAAAGATTTGAGAGAAGCAGGTGGTGTAATTAATACTAACATTGTACAAAGTGTGGGTAAAGGTGTAATTATGAGTGAAGATCCGTCCCTCTTGGATACCATTAATCTAACACGAGAATGGGCAAGATCCATAATGGAACGGTTAAACTTTAAAAAACGAAAAGCTACTAAAGGGGTTAAACATCTTCCCGAAGATTTTGAATTAATAAAACAACAGTATTTGGATAGAATACACAAGAACATTGAAGAACATGATATACCAGCTTCACTGGTCATTAATTGGGATCAGACAGGTAATTTCAAATTACTGAGAAAAAAATTACATTAATTACTTGTACTTAAACTGTTTAATAATTAAAGAAATGAATTTCTTTATTATCATGTTTGAATTTATAAAGCAAAACATTAATTTGTATTGAATTGGTGTAATTAGGGTTGAACATGGTCCCAGCCAGCGAGTGGACAATGGAGGAGAAGGGCACCAAGCAAGTTAAGTTGGTTGGCAGAGGAGACAAGCGACAGATCACTGCATTACTCGCCTCAACTCTGTCCGGTGTCCTTTTACCCCCGCAACTTATATATCCCGGTAAAACCGAGCAGTGTCACCCGAAAGTCGATTTTCCTGATTCGTGGGATATAACTCATTCGGAATCACACTGGAGTTACGACATGTCAATGATTCGATATGCCGAAAAGATCATCATTCCTTACGTTGAAGGCATCAGAGAGGGATTGGAACTTTCCCGTATCAATCAGTAAGCACTTACGATTTTTGATGTGTTTAAGGCACATCGCAATGAAGCCCTACTCGATATGCTAAAAAAAACATCACATTAGTGTTGTGTTTGTACCTCCACGTTGTACCGACAAGCTGCAGTCTTTAGATCAAACGATTAACAAAAAATACAAAGAAAATATCAAATCAGAATTCCAAAACTGGTACTCGTCAAAGGAAATTGCAAAGGAAATAACTGAAAATAAATCTGGTGAAAGAGGAAATATTTCTCAAATTGATCTTAAAACATCTGTAATAAAACCGTTACACGCTAAATGGATTATAAAGTGTCATAAGGTCATGGAAAAAGAGACCGATTTTTTAATCCGTGCATTCACAAGCGTGGGAATTTCCCGCAAGTAGATATGACGAGGTCCACTGAACAGGGGAGACATTCTTTAAACTGTTGTTTTTTAAAATGTATCATATAGTCTTTTTATGACAAATTATGTAACAAAAATAAATTTTTAAACGTTTTCATCATTCCTGTCTAATATCTGCTTTTGTAGTATATACTTACCCAGGTGTGTTCAGTGAAGCGTTTAATTATGACTGGTTTGACAAGTCTAACGGTACGAATAGCTTGATTAGGATCTCCTGAGAACTTCAATATTTTATGATCATACGCGCGGGGGTATTTTACGCGGTTCTAAGCTTACCGCGTAAGTAGTGTAAATTTACCCCACGCGTAAATAACCACTTTTACAGTAAGGCGTCTGCGTTTTGATGAACTTTTCCAGGTCGGTGTTTTATGGTTATATCATACTCCTGAAGAGTTAATGACCACTGTGCTAGGCGTCCAGCTGGATTCTTAATGACGATAAGCCACCGTAATGGGTTGTGGTCAGTTATCACATTAAATTTCCGGCCAAATAGATAGTGTCTAAAGTATTTCACACTCCACACAATGGCTAATGCCTCTTTTTCGATAACTGCATAGTTCTGTTCATTTGGTTTTAGACTCCTACTCGCATACGCTATTGTCCGCTCACCATCTGGACCTTCTTGGGCTAGTACTGCACCTACACCAGTGTCACATGCATCAGTATACAGTACAAAAGGGAGTGAGAAATCTGGATATC